TCAGGGTGGGTCCTACGTAATTTTTTTGGACTCGAACATCGAACATCGAACAAGCGGTGTAATCATGTGATTGGCCAGGAAGGTCCAACAGCCCAAAGCGATGTTAGGGTTTTCGAGTTTTTGTACGCCGGATCTTCCAGGGGCGATTCCGCCTAAAACTCTAACATCTTTCCACAAAAACTCGAAAACCTATACCTAACCTACAGTCCCGTGGACTATTGGGACCGAATTGGCGACAAAAAAGAAAACCCGCACGCATGCATCACGCACGTGCACCCAACACACACCACCAAAAAACACAATCCTGGGGAGAGGGAGAACGACAGAAAGAAACAACATACAATATTGGTGAAATTGAGAGCGAAGCATGAAATTAACGAGAGCCAAAAAAAATGAAATTCAGGTTCAGACGCCTCTTGCCATTTCTTGGGAAGTAGGGGGGGCGGGCTCTTCCAAGAAGCGGCGCAAATTGAAGGTCTCATTTACCCATGTCTGCACAGAGCGACGACGAGTTTGCGCTGGATCCCAGGGCCCCGCGTGCACAAGCGGGCCAGGTGTGAGGTTAATCACACGGGAGTTCCTTCCCGTCGCAACCATACAACCATACCATACATTGTACAGCATTGCTGGACAGCCAAACAGCTTCAAGCAGTGTTGGCAGGCGGGTTCCGAGCTAAAGCCAGTGTTGGTGTGAGTCGGCAGGGTCCCGCAGCAATGCATGTGGGCATCAGGCCGCAAGGGATGCCGGGGTTCCACCCCGCGGCTTCGAGCGCTAGCTACTATCAACCGGTGCTGTTTTTGCTGGTGGGGCTGCTTCTTGTGCTCCTCCTCCTGGCGCCGTCCCTGTTCCTCGACGCTCGTATCTTTTCGAGAGTCGAGTGCCCTTGGGTTTTCCGGGCGTGGTCCAAGAACGCGGGCTGTTGAACGCAAAAACGTGTGTGTGTGGGATTTTTTTTCACGCTTTTTGCAAATTTCAATGGATACACCTGACCTGCGGTTGCCTTGGCGCCTCCTCCACTCAGAGGTATAGCAATCAAAACCGCGAAGAACGACAACAACAGAATCAGCCGAGCCGAACTTCGAACTATCCGCTTGTTCGATGTTCGATGTTCGACTTTTCCAAAAATTACGTAGGACCCACCCTCACTAGCTTGATTGAGAGGAACATGAGCGAGAGTGCAGACCTCAGCAGCAGCGTCTCCCCGGCGCAAAGTACAGCAGTTGGGGGTGGAGGAGGCGAGGGTGAAACAGAAACAGCCGTACGTGTTTTGTGTTTTGCTTTGGTGCACTGCGTTTTCGCTCCAAATGACAACAACGGAGGCTTAGTGCTGCGTAGCTACGGCGGTTGGTTGCTGATTCTGTTGTTGTCGTTCTTCGCGGTTTTGATTGCTATACCTCTGAGTGGAGGAGGCGCCAAGGCAACCGCAGGTTAGGTGTAGTCGAACTGTTTTTTTTTTTCGTGTCAGCTTCATTAAATATAGTTGATGAGGAAGACCAATGGTGGCGCCGCTCTAGGGTGGGGTAGAATCAGAGTGCACGGAGCCACGTTGATCTCGGAGTATAATATCAGTATTGTATTTCATGCGGTGCAGACGTCCTTTTGTGCGGTGCAGGACGTGATGTCCTGTGACGCTGCTACTATCGGGGTAAGTACCGGGTTCGTCTGTAGGTACGTTGTTTGTGTACCATACAGAGGAGTTCTGTGAGACCTAAGTACCCTACAGAGATTTCACAGATAGTTCGGTACTCTCCCCGGTATCTACCGAGATTTTACAGAAAGTTCGGTACTCTCGCAGTACCCTACAGAGATTTCACAGAACGTTCGGTACTCGCCCAGTACCCTACAGAGATTTCACAGAACGTTCTGTATTCTCCCAGTACCCTACCGAAAAGTTCTGTGGAAATAATGCTGACTTCCCTGTTCCCTGTTCTGGGAAGGGGGCACAACAAATCAACAAAACAAACGAACACCATGTGTTCTGTGTGAGACACACGAAAGCGGACAAAAAAACAGATCGAAACAATATTCCACACAGGGCAACAAAACGACTTCCCGGCATCAACCACCGCCGCTCCATTGCGACAGAAGGTCACCCCTTACACTTCGTATTCTAGCACCTACAGTAAGTCTCTGTGACCACGGTGTAGGGTAGAAAATTTGGTGATTTGCACAGTGATTGATTGTAGTTAGCGGCGTCCGGTCAGCATGTTGAAAATGACGCGTTCAAGGCCTCCAACCATTGAGCTCGATTGTCCCTCGTTATGGACAGATACGCGGTGTAGCAGGCAGGTGCCCCCCCTTGGCTCTACCGATTGTTACTCTTACAGTGAAACCCTTCAAGTAGCGTTCCTGCTTGCACCACCACCACTTGTGGAAGAAAAACGTTCTCGTAATACATCGCGTGGTGCCCACCATAGCCTGCAAGAACTCCCCCCTTTGTGCGAAAAGCTCCCGCCCTAGTACATAAGCTACCGGAATGCGTGGATTCTCGGGATACTGGTCAACCACCCTCTACCAAGCCCTGGTGTTTCGGGTGAACTTGACGGACAGGCACCGACAACGACAAACCACAGAACGAGATACGCTCGTTCTCCCAAGTCGAAATAT